AGTTTTACTGTTGTAATTATTACTCAAATCCTATATATTATGTATTTTAAGATTCATGGACAAAATTGAATTCAAATAATGTCAAAACTGTCAAGATGCTATCGATTAGATTAAATTGTTATTGTTATAGAGCAGTACCAACAATTATAACGTGAAAATAAGGATCTTTTAATACGTAGAGACAGAAAAAGCATGAAATTCGAATAAATGACATGGTTGTTGTTGTGTACTATGACCATGACGTAAGATTGCAGTCTTGGTTGTATAAAACCGATAACGTAGATGGACTTGGAACCATCATAGTTTGTAGAGCATTTATGGAAAGCATAAATTATACATTGAAATCTTTACAGTTAAAAAATTATGTTAGATTATTTCATAAAAAAAAACTTCTCAATTTTCCTTATTAATATCTCTGTCTCTTATAAATATTATGAAAAATATGTTAACGCATATCATTTATACGACAATTATGAGAAATATGTTACATTGTCCACTCTATATGATATAAAATACATTACATATGATGCAAAATTGTAAGTGTTACTAGACCGGAGGAGGCGATAAAAATGATAAAGACCAATAACACAAGCGCATATTTCAACTGGGTTAATGATGTTGTTTAACTAAAGAGAAATTTTATTGTTAATAAAAAATTATCACAGCACAAGAAGATTATAGTTACTTATGTTAAAAATAATGATGTATTTATTAATAACCAAATCAGTTGTTCAGTTTATCTGAAGATTAAAAATCCGCTTATGTCTACTCTTCTATCACATTTTTATTGGGTAAATAATTCTTGATATAACGAGCCTTCCACCGTATCGACCATAATTACTATTTGTAGTGGCTAATTTTTTATAGAATTTGATTAAGTGCAGAAAATTGTGAATGTTTATAGTATGTGGTTATTAATAAATAAACATCATAAATAATTTCTTTAATACACCGAAAACATTTCGATTTTATATCGAAGATTCCAAGATACATTACATTTATAAATTTTAATAATGATATTCTGCGTTGTCGCGATTCTTTAATTTAATAAAGATTTTTAAAAAATATTTTTTTCAAATTTAACCTATAAATTAATATTTTACCCAAATTTAATCCTATATTTTATCAAATGTACAAACGGATCTGCATCGCGAGAGTTGAGATCAACAGGACAAATGTTGTGCGACACGAAGATCATAAATTCACTCAGGATTGAGATATGAATAGTTGCTGAGACGAAGAATGCACTATCGCTTATCAAGCAATGTTAATTATAATTCGTGCAATCGACACAAAGGTTATAACTTCAATATACAGCTTGAATCATATAACTCGATCAGCCCATTATTCCCTTTACCCTTTGACCCAATGAAACAATTTAATTTTTATCACTTCAGATAATATCCAGAACATTTTACAATTAATTTTCTAGTATATTTTTAATCAATTATTTTATTTTCGAAATTTAGCGTTTGGTTGCAATTTTCTTGAATAGAAATGATCAGAAAAATTAAATTATACAGTTTACTTTGTATGTGCGCCAATGTATTCGACGAACGAAGGCGATGTAGCAGAGGATGACGGCAACGACTACTATTGATACGATGGCGATGATTTAATGTACATCGGTTTACGTGAACCATGACTTTTGTGCGGCATCGTGACCTCGCCACGTTGAACCCGACGCAGGCACAAGTACCCGACTGTACAGCAAATCCAGGCCTTCAACGAACTTATTGGTAGACAACAAGAACGATCGCGTCTTTGAATTTTTCTAATATCTATTCATAAATAATTTTTGGAAAAAAACCCACCTCTCTTCAAATTCAAACTTAAACTTGGATCATTTGAACAATAAATAGTGGAATGAGGAGTTATGTAATAATATAATTGGTCTTTGAAAAATTACTAGCCATTTAAAGTTTATGAGTTTCTAATTAGAGAGCAATTTTTGCGCTTACTCGTCTTTTGCTATGAAATGACCGTACATTTCCTTTTTTACTTAACCAATAGAAAACTTAACGCGATGTAAATTTTGTCCGCATAACGTAAACATGAATATCAAATTATTATTAAATCGAATATATCATAAACAAATGGCTATATAATTTATAGTATAAAAATTAAAATTTATTACAAAAAATAATGGAAATTTACAAGAAATGTTTTTTTATAAAACCTTTATCTCATGAAAACTAAAAACATCTCGCATGGACGACTTGACATTTTGCACTTTCGTCGTATTTACGTAAAACTAGTTATGAAATAAACGTACGAAATCGTCTGACTCGACACGATAAGATCTATCGAACTTTACCTTCTTTATATAAAATATATTTCGTTATCTTGGCATGTTTGAATGTTTTCAGGGTCGTTGCGTGGCGCAAAATCGACCTATATGAAAAATTGTTTTAATAATTATTGAATTTTTAACAAAAATATAAATTCTAAGTAAACTAATATAAAAGTGCAAGTTACGAAACAAAATAGGAAGTTTATTGACGAAGAAAGGATCGTCAACGTTCCTGTAGTTTTGTCAGCTCGATAGGGACCAAACAAACGGGTGTCATAGTTTATCTTATTACATTGTGGTATTAAAAGCAAACGGTCCATTTGTATAGACGCATATATGATTCATATAGGATCCCGATACAGCAACGCAATCAAAGTGTAATAATATTTCGTTCATTGATATTTGAATTGTTTCCAATACGTGTACATATGCTTGGATTCTAGAATTCCGTACGATGTTCTACATAAGAATTATTGCGACTCGATATCACGTACATAATAATTCTACAAGAGCTAATTTTGAAAAATTTTAAATTTGCTTTCTCATATACATATTTCGATATGTATAAAAGTGATTACAGAAATAGTTTCTTCATACTCATGTTATTTTTATATGTATATCAATCATATGAAAAATCAATAGTTTGTTTATTCTTCTACCATTTTTACGTATCTATTTCTTTAAATCAAAAAGTATGATAATCGATGGGTACATCATAAATAAGAAATAAATTTTTTTGAATCAAAAAAGCAATCGAAGGTGGCGTTTCGTCTCTAAATGACACGCGCTGGAGTGACTCAGGAGACATGTGACGCAGCGAGCAAGTGTTTAAATAGAAATAATGGCGACCCTGACGATCGAACCGATAAAATTCAACTGTTCGAGGGAATAGTCAAAGTGACCGTTACAGGTGCTAGCGATGCGTTTGTATTAGCAGAATAGGATAATAGAACGACTCCTAATGGTATCGTCAGCGAAATACTACCTGCCAGAAAAATGACGATACAACTTTCTATTTTTTTTGTAAGCAAGCTATGACAATAAATCAAGTGATGTTTTTAAAGCACTTTATATATATATATATTATATATATAATGTAAAACTTCAGTTATTATGCATTTCATAGGAGTTATTCATAGGAGGCCGTTACGTTAATTTTTACGGTCTACATAATGTAGACCGTATTTTTTATATGTAATAATTACGTACAAATATTTATGGAAAAGTACTGATATATATAACGGCCTCCTATGAATAACTCCTATGAAACGCATAATAACTGAAGTTTTGCATCTTTTAAAGTTATAATCAGTAGCATCAAGATACTCAAAAGCTGTGGCTTGTTATCTTTATTAATAATTATTATGCGGTATTGATATATAATTGATATATAATTGATTGCCGTAGTGTAATATCTACGTAATATAATTATCTACCACAAACCGCAAATAAATGCAGTTGATCATAAACGGTCATTACGTTCGCACAGGTGATGACGAGAAAACCTCAACAACTATTATCGTAAATTAAATTAGTAGAAGATATGATTAGATTAATAATTATCATAAATAATAATAAATTCTGTATCAAACTAAGTTTACGAATACAATTTTATAATTGCATTATTTGTCAAAAAATATATAATATCTTCAAAAGTCCAGTTTCTCAAGACCGATTTAAGAACGGACTTACTTCTTTTTAACTCAATTCATAATTGTAGCGAAGTTAAACTAGTTAATATATATTTTGTATTTATTGTAATAAAATGAATTTGTTGATGAATAAATATAAAAGAATCAATTACGGCGATTTCTCTCAAGAATATTATTCAAAAATAGTTGAAGAGAAATTTATGAGAGATGCAACTTGTTGTTTTTATATTTTTGCAAGTATGAAGCAATTAAATAACGCGCTTCTTAATCCTAGATTACTATCTCGAATTAAGTGAAATCTTTATATTACTCTCAAATAATACTTATGATACTTGAATCAGTAGCCACGCATACGTAATTCAGAATATAAAATTCTCAAGAAACGTGACTTGTGCAAATGTTAATATTGTGCTCAAATTAAGGTATATGACTGTTAAAATTAAGCGCTTTTGTTTAGTGCCAAACTTTTTATTTCCCCAAGATAACAACCTATAAGATCCAAAAAAACATTCATTACATATGCGCAATTATACATTTGTAATTAGTTCCAAAATAACAATCGCGGAATTACATGTTACAATTGTTGTCATTCATTACTTATAGCATAACGTCGAAAGATGTCGGAAGGAAATTCGCGACGGATGCGACGAAGCTGAATGCAACTGATGGCTGTATCAGCCAGCAGTATGCATATACCGGTGGGCGTTATCGCAAAACCAGGGGCAGCGTTATCACTCTGATATCCAACATATATACATCCTTCACGACCGGCCCCTGGCCTCCAGTGACTCGCGGACCACCGGCTCAGTTGAGCGCTTTAGTGACACTGTGTACATGCTCTCTTTTCTTCATCTCGGAGCACGTTCGGAGATGCTTGCCTGCGAATCACAAGCTGATCGATCGATCGATCACGCGCCGTCAAGCGTCGCCAAACAGCTCAAGATTGATTTAAAAAGAGAGAGAGAGAGAGAGAGAGAAAGAAAGAGAGAGAATCCTTTTTTCTCAACTACCCTCCCTGAGCACGCGAGATCGCGAAAGGTGAAAGTGGTACTCACCGTATTCGCGGTGCCGGTACTTGGCCACAGGTTTGCCATCGTCGTCGCTCCTCCTCTTCATCTCGTAATTATTATCTCGTTTTTCTTGAGATCACTTGGTGCTTATCCTTCGTTGAGTTCCCGCTTCTTGTCCGTCTGACAGCTGCTTGTCAATCTGGAATTGGCACTATAAGCTAGAGACTTTGGCACTTTATTCTCGACTGCGAGGATGACTGCGACTACGACATTCTCACCTACGGAGGATTCACGCGTTCTTTATCCTTTCGTTGTCGCGCACGGAAGATGTAGAGAAGAGCGACTGAGAGATGCTGTGTGTACACCGCGATCGGCGACTAGACGAAAATTAAGATCCGGACTTTTGCTGGCTGTACGAGAACTCGCGCCACTGCTCTATGATCGGGAGCGAGGCTCATGTATATTATGTACATAGAGCAAACGAAGCAAGAGGAGGAAAAGAGATGGAATGAAAGGTAGAGGAACAGAGCTAGAGAAAAGGCGGTAAAACAAAAGGGGAAAAGAAACAGAAGGAGAATAAACGAGAGAGACGGAAAATGAACGAGCAATTGCGGTCTTAGCGGATGGCCGAAGCGATCCGAGTTTGCTAGCGAGCTGCCCGAGCTAAGTGAACGAAGGCGAGACGAAGATACCGCGAGAACGAATGCACAGAGACAAGGAAAGATGAAGAGGGGAGTGAATAAGTCGAAGAGTAGGACGAGACGAAAACGAGAGCAAGAAGGAGAGGAAAAGAGAGCGAGAGAGAGAAGGAATAGGGTAAAATAGAACAGAGAGAAAGAGAGAGAGAGAGAGAGAGAGAATGACCAATTCGAACTGTGATCGCAAGCGGAGTGGTGATTCGAGAGGGGAGAGTCGGTCTCGGTGCCTACTGCTTCATGCGGTGGTAGGAGCAGCGCGAATCATGCTGGGGAAAAGTATGGGAGTAGTAAAATCGCCACGCGGCGTGGCACGGTGTGGTTATTATCGCGCGAGTTCTATACCCATCTACGCGCGACGTTTTCTTATCAGTGCGAGAGGAGGGCTGGCTAGTGACCACCTCCTACCCCTTCCTTCTTCTTTTCAGACGCGAGGCATTGAGGCCGACTTTTGTGCATTACTTCGCGCTACATACATACATACATGTATACATGTATACATTCGTTAGAATTTTTTTATATATATACACATACGGGAATGTTATTTTAATTTATTGTGTTCTTATACATTATCCATGCGTTTACTATACTTTTTGGATTAACTGTCGCAATCAATCCAAGTATTGTTGTAATCACACTATTTGCTGAATTTTCTTATTTTATTATTAAAGCAAATTTTGAAGCATAAGTTTTAAATCCGAGTAGATAGAAAAAAATATATTGTATAAAAAGATATTTCTATGAAATAAAACTTTAATTACAGTTTAACTACATTAAATTTTATTAAATCTTACTTCAACATTTTTTGAAGATATGTATTAGCTTCTGTGTACATACTATATTATTAGTATAATTTTTTTATATAAATCTTTATCTTATTCTAGCTCTCTGAAAACATTTTGCCTCCAAGAATTTTCTAAATAATAAAACAAAATTAAAAGAATATTATATACATAGCAAAGGTCTATAGTACATAAAGAAAGGGAAGAGTGTTTACAGGATCGGCAAAGCTAAAGCGTAAGCAAACGGCTTGGCGACTGTTTCGAGAGTGCCAGGTTACAGATACTCGGCTGTCAAGGACAAGCCTGTCCATTCATTCGTCCGTTCTTATGATCGATCATTCGTTCATTCATTTATTCGCCAATTGATTATTACTAGCCTACATGTTATTTTTTTATATACACAAGTATTAATTTTATCAAGACATTTTAGATATTTTACTTCGAACTAACAACAAATTTGCTATTAAATGCAGTAAGCGCGTATCTAAAACCTCTAAATCAAATGGTGACTGTAATAAATGTCAAAATTCATTCCTGACTATATGCAAGTATAATATGATAATCCCCCAAGACTTTTACTCAGCATATCTGATAGTACTATATGCTATATTACTAAACGATACAACGTTAGTTATCGTGTTTTACATTACTCGTATTTTCTTATTCGATTAGAAGCGTCAAATCAATGTTCTAATTGCTATAGATAGTATAACATTCATATCATAACGAATAATTGATTACGTAATAAAATGTGATAAATGTTCACTCACCAGAGTCGTTGTATACTAAATACGCTCACAGTTATATACTGGAAAAAATAATAAATAATTATATATTTAAATAATTAATAAATAATTTTCACTTACAAATAAATAATTTTTAACTCACCAACTAATTGCAGTATGCTTCGCTCGTTGCAGAATCCGTTTTAACATCTCTATCATTCGTAACAGTTCTATCGAGAACATAATGAATTACCGTGATTATATGTATAACTCTGGTAAAAAATGATTGGTTCTAACGACACATACAGACATGTGTGTACTTGCACAGCATCTTTCGAGGGAATTATATGACATTGCGTGGATAAAATATCTATACGATGTCTATATATATCGCAACGTTCCTTAGATGCGGTGTTTTGTTTATTATATATAATAAAATATTAAGTATTTTAATTAACTCAATTAATCTGTGGGAAATTTATTGTACAAATAATATTATCATATATAAAATCTGTATTTATATTGCGCTGCATTAGTATATACAATCGCATTTTTACCGACGTGATACACCATAACAAGGTATGGTCGCACGGAGTTCACTTGACGAAACTGTCTCTCATTCGACAATCGTATTGTCACACATCGTATTATTGCGTTATATCGTATTCACTGACAAATATTCCATCAGTCGCTGTAGGTACTCGCGATAATAATGATCTCTTTTAACAACATTACATTTAATGAAAAGTTCTTATATAATTCTCTTGAAAGATAATAAAAAGAACATAAGCATTATTTTCGCGTCGCTATGTGTTAAAATCTGTACTTACAACTGTATTAATTCCAAACCAATATTAGAATCAACGTCGACGAAATCGTAGCGATGGTGGACACTTGAGCAATTGATACATTCGGGAGATCATTCATATTATTTTAATCAACACTTCCGTCACGAACTCATGCTGATTGTGCACTTTTAATGGATAAAATTTGCGAAGCGATAATCTCACATCATGTGTTTCGAATCGCTACTTTCAAATGAGAATTATATGCTCTCTTTCTCTTAATAAATTATGATAATTAATTAATGATGCTTCATTTGACCAGTTTTTATAAATATTTAAGCAAATACGTAAAAATAGGAAATTAAATGTAAAAAAAGAGACAGAATTTTTTTCTCACTTAAACTTCAAATTGGCACATCTATTCTATTTATTCTATCTAAATAATTGTAACGACATTATTAGAGAAATGTATCAAAAAATTTATCGAATAGAATATTATATATAATATAACAAATGATTCGTATAATTATAGTAATCAGTATATCTTAGCAAATACTAATTAACAATGATATACTATTAGTCATAATTTTCCATACAATATGTATAGTAACAACTAATATATGTTATATAATTGTTATATTACAAGTTATTGAGTTATATTATCGAACAGAAAATTATAACTAACAGTTTTGTTATTGCTAGTATTTGCTGAAATTAATCAATATATTATATTATTAATGCAATAAAAATTAGTAACAATATTTCCAATTTCTTCACATTGATCATTGCAGAGATAAACTTTTTGTCCTAATCTTATCATAAATAATATGAATAGTTCAAAATATTTACTTTTAAAGTAGTATTTTTAAAGTGAATACAACACTAAAAGAATCTTGATTTATTTGCTAAATGATCATATATTTCACATGCATACTATATAAACACAGTTCATCATAAGCTTTTAGTGATTTTTGCACTAATTGCTTATTGTTTTCTTCAGGAAATGAACTCGCAACTGCATGCTCTAACTTCAAGACTCAATCCATTCGACCAAAGAAGCACATAATGTACCTGTATATAAATATCTTTTTTTATACTCTAAAGAATAAACGATCAGAGATGTTTTCACAAATGCTGATCTTGTTCAACAATACACAATTTTATTCTGTCGTATCTTACAATAAAAATGTATACAAACAGATTAAAGAGTAAGAAACTGTGAATCTCTCCGCACGTGCGAATGCATCAAATCGGGGATTGTATATTGTATTTCTATTTATCTTTTTCTTATCTACACAAACAAATTTTACATCATCATCGAAATAACTAACAAAAATGTGCGTTGTAATAAGTTTTGCCAACAATTTTTATGAATATTACACATGTTTACAATTTACAGCGTTGCATCTATATGTAAATCAAGTCAATACAAATATTACTCTCTAATCATTATTTTAATTGTGGCACATAACATATCGTCTTTTTTTCATATATGCATATTTACAATAATTTTTTTCAACAATAGTTAATGGAGTAAAAGTTTAAATATATGAACACGAAAGTTCACGAACCATTTGTTATTTCGTAAATTTTCAACGTGAGACCTATATCAATTAATGGGTACATTCAGCAATAAAATAAATCTTTTTAAATGGTTTGTATGATAAATGCATTGCATTTATAACTAAGAAAATTATTACTCAAATAAATGCTATTACATACGATTTATGATAAAACCATATATATTTTATATATTTATCATAAATAGAAAATCAAAAAAACTGATCATATGTTCAGAAAATGACACCAGAAAAATGACCCTTTTTTTTAAAGATTTCACTACTTTGTAAATATATTTCTACATCTTTGATTATGCGATTTATGTTTATAAAAATGTTAGTAATTTAATGAAATTAATAAAATAAAAATTAATAAATAAAAATTGAATTATTTTTTAAAGTTTCAATTACACAAATAAACTTTTTTTTAACGTTTTACAATTTAATTCAAAATTAAATTGTATTAATAACAAATTAACACCTTTGTTTTTAGCAATTGTTCAAAATGAATATAAAAAATACGAATTTTGTCATGCTAAGTACGATATTACAACATTTCATTTGCAAAAATATATTTAAATTTTATGATGGAAAAAGTATCTAACAAAAGTTATGTAATCTTACGAATATCTTAATGTTTTATAGACAGATTATTAGATAGAAATAAAAAAAAAACAGACGGTATATTAAAACGAGAAATCCAGTCTGGAATCTGTATAGATCATTTAATCAAATTAACACGATCGTTGATAACAAAAATTGTATTTTTAACGAAACGATATGTTCTGATAACCATTAAAATCAGAAAGGAGTCGATATGATATTGTAGATTCTAAGATTACACGACTGTTCGACTGCACGTAAAGCGTGTAACATATAATCCCCCGATTTCCTTTGGATCCGCATTTTGAAAATTGCATAGCCGCATATCGTTCTTAACCAATGATTAGGCCACAACCTAATCTAAATTGCTGCTTGCTGTGATTGATCATACCACTGAGCGCGAATGAGAATGGCAACGGTTGTAATCTCTTTTCTAAGACTGCTCCTACTGTCCAAGTCGTATCTACGCTACCTATAATATACCAAAAATTAAATAAAGATTATAAAATTAGATAAAATTATAACATTTTTGAGATAATTGTGAATACATACCTTTAAACACTAAATCTGCTTTAGGTAAATCGACTTGATAAGCAATTGTTGCTGTCGATTCTTGCATTCGTGCATTAATTTCTAACTCCACGCCTACTTGTAATTGTTGACTAGCTCTTTGATGGAAACAAAGGTGACAAGCAGATGGACCTTGGAAAATAATTATTTAAAAATTAAAAAGTCATATAAGAGTATCAGAATAATTTATACTACTATTATTACTTACTAATGCTACCGCTGAATGTAGAGTCACCATTCGTATATCTCCCTGCAGCAGATAGTAATGCAATTTGTCCACCTGGCAAGCCAGGTCCACGTTGGTATGCAAGCTCACCGCCTAATGCAAGCGATGGTGTTAAACTTTGAAGATAATGTAAAACAAGAACACCTAAAAATATGTTCATAATATTAACACAGATTACATATATATATTTTATAACACAGATGTTTTCCATATTATCATCTTACCAGAACCATTAAGAACGTCTGGATTGCCTAGTGTTAAAGAACAAGTATATGCATCCCCTCGATAATCAGCTGTCATTTGTACAGCAGTAAATTTATTTCTTTGCACTTGCGCTGCCAATTTTCCTTTGAGTCTTGAACCAAATTGATGAAGAATGTTGGCATTAAGATTTCCACTTGGGTCAATATCACCCAATAATATAGGATATGCTTCTGTAGGTGAAATTTGTTTTGTGCCAACATAAGTTGCACCAAATCTGAATAAAAGGATCCAGGTTTATGTTATATAGTACACATATAAATAAATATATATATGTTTATGTTATATTGTATTATAGAGCATATCGATATTAACAAAGCAGATATTTTCGTCCATGCTGGACATTTACCTGTAACCAGATTGTATTACAGAACTCATGTTAATAGTATGTGAAATATGGAAATGGTTACTCAATCCCTTATTGACTACTAATTTTGCTCCTTCAAAATTTATAGGAAATATATCTGGAAATATAAAATATAAATTTTTTTGTCCTACGTAACACAAGTACACAGAAAGCATAAATTTTAATTTAGAATATTGGAAAATATTTATCAGAAAGTATAATATAAATTATAAGAAAAAATATAATGAGTTTATTAAGGAAAATGTGAAAAATCATATATTAATTATTGGTCGCCAAGGAAATAATCTATTAGAAAGTTTTCTGTGATAAACTGGAAAAACACGAGAAGCAATCCGAAGAGAAAGCAGGGAGTACTCGAGAATCGTGACATGTAAGCCTTTGACAAGATACCTTTACACTTTTTGTGCAAATCCTCGATGGTACCCGGGTTCTCAATCTGACTGGACGCTTCGGTAGGCGCGTAAATATCCGTTGACGGATCCGGTTTCCCTAAATTCGGCACTAGTTCGGGACCCGGTGGCGGAGGTGGCGGTGGAGGAGGTGCGGAGGCAGCCATCGCGTTTCCCATTATTACAGTCTTGTTAATACAAGATTATTGAATCTGTCGCGTGAAGATTGCTTTTAATGCCTTTCGTCGAATCGTTCGACCGGATAAGTCGTGCTGAATGTTTCAATGTGTATTTACACGAGAAAACCAGGCCGGATCACTCTTTACGGGTTATACGGTACGGCGTGTTTCGTCGCCATTTGTAAAAGATAACCACAAAATTTCTATGATGAACGTGCTCGGCTCGGCGCGAGTGTAACGCAGGGATACCAATGCACGAAAAGAATTTTCACGGAATTACAGGTCTGTTCAAGTCATTTCTCGCCCAGCAAATGAACATGATTGGTTCTGTTATTTACAGATCCAACCAATCATATTCAATCGCTCAGTGAGTAAGCTAGCAACTTTGTTCGGTTTAAACGCGTACAATTATAGGTCTGTTCGCGTTGCATGAAATCTTCAAATATTTTTTCACTTAAAATAAGATAGACATATATTGTATTTTTCTTAAAAAGAGAGAACGCGAAAATACTGAGTGCAAAAAGTGCAAGCAACGCAAACAGATCTTTATATCAACTTTATGCTTTCTAGGAAACACTATGGTTCAGAAGAAAAAGCAGCTTTGCAATTATTGTAAAATTCTGTAATATGATTGATCTCTTTCCTTTAGTTTTTCAGTGGTTTCAGATTTAAATGTATAAACCATTTCTGTGGCTAAACTAGTGTACACTTTTTGTAACTTCAAGTAAGATAGATGTATATGTTTGATAATTCGTCGAAAGCGAGAAAGAAAGTTCTAGTGCAGTCCAGTGCAAGAACAGAAAACAGTTAACAGACCATATGTTGCAGCTATATATGTCGTTATTAAAGATAAGGTTATTAAACTGATCATTACATTCCATCGAGTGTATGGAGTGGGGGGACAGTACGCAACAGTAGAATTATCGTGATTCGCGGGGATTCGAAAAACAAATAACTTGGCCTACAGCCTATATAGCTAGTGTGTAAAGTGCGTTATCGAACGAAGTTCATCCGTCGTCTCGCGAATGAAAAGTAATATTTTGTGAGGAAGGAACAGACGTATGTGAAGAAAGAGAGACGCTAATCTTTTGGCTGTCATTATTCTGGAATGTAAGTATATGCTATATATACTTGATTTTACACACATCTCATATATATATATATATATATATATATATATATATATATATATATAAAACGCATATTACGACGCACTGAATATGGCGTTTTGTTTCATTATCAGATACGCGTTTAGATTCATATCATACTTTTATGTACTTTTATCAAAATGAAATCACGCTCGATTTCTTGAATGATAAGCATGCACACATGCATGCTGCTATGCTTGCTTTGATGCATGTAGTCTGATAAATAATTATGAAATTAGCAATTATTTCTTTTGATTAATGCATGCAAGGAAATAAGCTATGAAGTAATCCATAATAAATATAAAAATTATATGCAGCATGCAACGCTCAATGTATGAACGAATTCTAGCATACATCAAGGCAGGCATGATTGTATGCATGCTCATATCATTCAAGAAATCGAGCATCGTGTGAGTCCATCTTTACTTTCATGAAACATCAATAGAATAGTATATTAGGATTGATAAAATATACACAAAGAATTGCCAACAATTGAAGCAGCATTTGGGCATGTACATGTTTTAAAAAAATTTGATAAGTGTTGCACATTGCTAAATTATATTGCAGTGTAATACTTTTCTGAAATTTTAGATAAAAAACATATGGATTGCTGTTTTACCAATCAATATGAGAACTCTCAAATTAGAGAGACATTCCCAAATGTCTCTAGTCCAGAAATGTTTGATAGTGATACCGAAAGTGATACATATAAGAAAAACGTTGAGGCATTAACCGACGACAATAGTACATTGTCAGTGATTCCTCCTCAAGAACCTACTCAGGCTGAATTGATTGCAAAATCAGATAGTTATATGCTGGTTAGAATTAATAAGTTTTTGAGTGGTGTCCCACCTCCGCCAAGACATACGACATGCCAAAGCGATTGTTCTGATTTTCTACGACACATTTATGAAAATCGTCGATTGTTTTATATTGGATGCCCATTATCCAATGGAAATTCAGAAACTACGGAAAGCACAAAGCCCCAGCAGCAGAGACCCATAGAAACTAACAATAAGAATATTTCAATTTCGTATCAATGTGCAAAAGGTACTCCGAGGAATTTGACTAATGCTTTTGATGCTTGTGATTTGTCAGCTGATAGTGCCGAAGATACAAAATTAGGCATAAACAATAGTGATTGCGATAATTTTAATGTACAATATAATGTTCCTAAGGAGATAAACAATTCAGTTAATACGATTAAAGAAACAGTTACAGTTCTACCAGGTGTAGACAAAAAGTCAGATTTATCTCAGGAACATTCTCCTCTTCTTTATCATACGATTGGTGAAGAAGAGGCTAAAGCTTTAACGTGGCCTCAGGCTTATTCTCACAAGTTCCATGGCATATAGTAAGTTCAATTTATTACAGCTTTTAATTTCTAACCATAAAGTATAATTCTTTTAATGCTTTTTTTTTTTAAATTTCAGTTATAACAGAAGCAGAACTGTAGAGGAGTTTGAGAATTTAACAGTTAAATTGTGTGAAAGATACATAGGAGCTGAGACACAATCTACTTGTAACGTATGGTTTTCCAAACAACCACCGGGAAGTGCGAGGAAGCGAAGTTTATTGATGAAACACAGAAATGGTCAAAGTCCAGAGAAGAGATTGACGCATTTAACCAAAAGACGTAGAACTTTCTGTAGCGCTAACTTGAAAGGATTGGGACTAATCACTGATAAAAGGCAGTTAATGATACCAATTAAGTATGTATCTCATTAAAAAAATATGATAATTAATAGAGTATAATTATATATATGTATTTTTTTATAATAGGAAACTTACACATAAAAAAGGAAAAAGTCCTAGAAGTAAAAGTCTACGTGGTAAAAGTCCAAGAGGTAAGAGTCCTCGAGGTAAAAGTCCAAGAAGTTCAGCAAAGAAGAAAGTAGTTCGGAGACTAATGCTAGATGAGTCAAGTCCATGTAAATCAAAATTAGAAACTTCGAAACGTGCATTATTTCAAAGTCCCCCATCAGATCATGCTGGACCTAGCAAATTAGTAGGTACAAATAATACGGATACTCAAAAAATTAAACGCGTTTTATTTTCAACACCAAAAAAGAACGAATCTGAAGATGCGAAACAAACCTCTTCAAAAGAAGAAAGTAGAAAAAGAAAATGTGAGGAAGAATTGCAAGGGCCACGATTGAAATGGGCGAAAAGCTTATCATTTGATTGCATGCACGAAATAAGAAATACGTCAAAGGTTACGTGGGATAGACATTCGTCGAGCAGTATTCTTTCGAAAAATGAAACGTCTGTCAATCAAGGAAAGAACGAACTAAGCGATACTCATAGAAAGGTTTGTATCGTTAATTTTTTTTTATGCTCTATATATATTTGTTTTATTATGCTCTATATCTATATATATATATATAAAATATATATTTGATAGATATAATTTTCTTGTTTATTTCTAGAAATTACTTTGGGCAGTTGCGGAAGCCCTACGAAGCAAAGGCATTGGCATGAGTCATCCGAAATTCAAACAATACGCTGCAAATTTGGCACGCACAATCAAAAAATTTATGCCCGATCTTGAAAATAGAAATATTCCACGAAAACCTGGAAGTACAAGCGATCGTATGTTAAAACTAGCCAAACATCACGTACTGTTTCTTATCGATACTAGGCCAATAAATTGACAGTACTCATTAGTACAATTAGTAAAATTCAGGAAGTTGTGAATGAAAGATTTAATCTTTCGCAAACACAGGACATTATTAAAATGACCAAATATATGGGTGCTTATACCTTTAGCCGACGTGTGTTTACACTATGATTTTTATATAACTTAATAATATAAGATAAAATGTGTTACGGTAATGAGGTAAGATTTAAAAATTGGGATGTGTATATTGTTACACCCGCATACAGGGTATTGAACATTTTTTATCGCATAAATAAAAATGTGTTTTTAATATATAAGCACAGTTTTATTAGCTTTAAAATAGTTATATTTCACAACTTATAAATAATTAATAAAAGGCGTTTTTCTGAAGTAAAACGCAATTTGCAATAACTTTACGAGTTAATGCAGTATACATACATCAATCGTATCTAACATATATTTGTATTTAAGACAGTGAAGGACAAGTAAAAAAATAAAGACTAATCGCGCCATAATCGCGATACCTCGTTTTCATTCCGAGTTTCCGTGACCGACCCTGGCGATAACTTCATCTAAGATTTTTGCAAGTTCTTTATTTTCCTTAGATTTTTGCTCCACAAGTTCGGCGAGCGAATTGCTTTTAAGTTCTGCTTTCCTTATCATTGCATGCAATTTGACTGTTTCCGCTTCATTCTGTTTTCGTATTCCATCCAATTCTAGATTAGCCCTAAAATATAATAATATGATATTAAAATATATCACGATATCTCTTATTTCGAGAAATATTGTATGACATATTATATATATGTCTATATTAATAGTGTACTTTTCTAGTTGAGCCATTGCATGTTCCTTGAGTTGATCGTATCGCGTTTCCAATGTTTTTATGGTTTCTACATTCTCCTGGATACTTTCTTTTAGTACAGTTTCATTATTTTTATACACTGATACAACTCCTTTAAGTCTTTCATACTTTTGATGTACATCGTTGAATGCTGCTTCCGTATTAGTTAGATGATGGTTTGCTGCTTGCAATTCTTCTTGCAATTTTATCTTGTCTTGTTCGAAGCTTGTACGATCTCTTTCTCGTTCTGTGAGTAATCTGCTAATCGATTTTTCGTATTCTTCCACAACAACCCTAAATCAATTGTTCTCATATTTTATTTAATTTAAATTAATTTATTTTGAGTAAATTATTTATTTAATCTAAATGGATTTGTTTTGAATAAATTACTTACGTCATTTGGGTTTTGGTTTTTATTTCTTGTGACATTTGTGCCTGTAGTTTATTAATTTTTTCCTGAAAGATTGCTTTCTGTCTTTCCAATTCTACTTCGTGTTCCTTTTTCTGTTTCTCCAATTCTTCTTCCAATTGTAATACCGTCGTTCTTACAAGTTCAAGTTCTTTACTCATATCTATATGATCAATAAGTGGTGCGTCTGATTTAGGCTCTTCTACTGGTTGCTCCTGAATAAATTTTGCTTTTAATACTTGTCTCATGATCAAAATTTAATATAAAGTAGGTACTTTATATGGTAATTAAAGATGCAGATAGTAGTTTTACACTTACATTTTTTTCTTGAACTTCCTCTGACTTTTGGACTGTTGCATTAGGAAGAGGACTATAAAAAAGCAGCCTGTCTATAGCTGCTATGGCAGGATTACGTTTTGGTGTACCAACATCAGGAAGTGGCGATTCATTTTTGTCATTTTTCTCTTCGTTTATTGTGGCATTTCCTTGAGGCAACATGCTGATATTTGATACCAATGGGTCAAACTTAACATACAAAGATTCGGTTCTAAGGCGATTTGTATGGGTAGGATTATTACTTCGTGCTAACAAAAAATCAAATGTCGAGGGATCTTGGAAAACTGAAAAAACAATAGTATTCATATATGTAATTAATAAATCTCAATAATAAAATTACGAAAAAGAGTTTTCAATAACTTACATTCAGGTGTTGCACTGACAAATTGATCTGTCTCTTCCGTAAATTCAAGTGAAGGATTAAGTAGCTCATTAGTAACTTTTTCCACTGTAGATTTTAATTCTTCAAAATGTCCATTGATCAATGACAATGTAGTACTTTGTCTTTGAGGTTTAAATTCCTCGTATTGTTCTTCATCTGGTGCAAAGTTGATATCTATCTCTTGTAAAGTAAGTGTACGATCGAGAATTTCAATAGATGTGTCTTTTTTACTATCACTCGTCGTAGGTGCACTTTCCACGATACATTTTTCCTTTTCTATAATTACAGTTTCTGATGAATTATTTTGTTTTTCTATAATATGGGTCTCATTACATATGGCAATTTCTTCTTCAGATAATTTCTGTACTCCATTCAAAACTACGCTATTTTCTACCTCTAAATCTTTTTTATCGACACTTGTCTGTAAGTTTTCTTCAACTTCTGATGTTTTTGGTTCTATAATACTGATATTATTTGGTAATAGTATGTTATCTTCCTTATCTGATACAATATCTAATTCAGACAACTCTTGCTCCTTGATAATTTCGTTCGTTTCAGTTTGAGTAATAGAATTATTTACAATTACTTGCGATGATACACACAATTTTTGATCAAAATTGTCGGAAGGTGACAATACAGTTGACGTATCCTGTTTAAACTCTGATAAAGTTTGTATACTCGTTTCTTTCGTTTTACTACTGTCAGTATGTTCTAATGGTGAAGATATATTGGATATACTAGATAACGAAAGATCCGCATATTGCGCTAACGGGGATATGGACGGAACAGAAATTTCGGTAGGACACGACTGTGGATCTTCTAAGGATAGTGTTTCGGCGTTGCAATCGTTTTTTACTGTCTGTTCTTCATTAAGCGCGATCACATCGAAAGTTGTATTATTGGATGAAATAATAGTTGTTATATCCAACTGATTATCATTCACATTACTTGTTGGCAGTGAATCCTTTATAAGATTACTCACAATGTTGCACGTTTCAATCTCAGTTACTGTAGCACTTTCCTGTAACGGAATATGCTTATCAATCGATTCTTCTACTTGTAGTACGTATTCTTCCGCAGGAGGATATGAAGTCACAAATTGTGAATCTTGAACGGGAAGTGTGTTATTAGACGATCCCAAAATATGCGTTTGATTCAAAGGCGTTGTCTTGCATAATTGAGAACTTGTCTCAATCGCCGTTTCATTATCGGCGTTGTCTAAGAAATCTTCGTTAAGGGAACAATCTCTTGTGGGAAACGGTACCTCGTCTACGGCCGATGTAAACGTCTGATCTTGACTGAGATCCTGACTGTCGTGTTCACTTCCTAAATGGATGTCTGCACACGCGAGGATCAAATCCTCTACACCGGGTATGTTGGAGTTCACATATGATGTGTCCGCTACGTTATCAGGAGTTTCGGGTGTCGAATCGGTACATATGCCGCTACTGGTTTTGATACTGAGAGTACTGCTGAGACTATGGAAACTGCTGGCCGACGAAAGACTCTCCGGAGCCAAGAGATTTTCCGTGACCGATCCTACATCAGCAAACTCGCGAGCAAAATGAACCTTGACCTCATGCTCTGCTGTCTTTGGGAGAGTCAAGGGAGTATCGTTGCCGCTCTGAAAATAAAAAAAATGCGTTAAGATATTTTACGAGAATACCATATCTCTTTCTTTTCTTTCAGATTTAAATGAAGCGTCAACACATAATGGGCGATTTATGAGAATTCTTTAATGTATAACAGAAATGTTTCATGTCCGTCGGATATCTTTTAGTGAAAAAACTTTCCTCGCGATTTTTACTTGTCATAAAGATTTATGAACAATCACGTCAATCTATACCAAGGAAAGTTTGACAGAAAACGCCTTCGAAAGCGTATACAACGCAATATACCATCAGCGTGGGCGAAGGAGACGTTCTTGGGCTTGTGGCACGATGCAAAAGTTTATGGATATACTCCATATTACGCCAATCGCAACCAATCTGTAATCTGCGAAATATCAACGCTTACTGACTAAGTCAGACTTCGCTAAGTCAGCTGACAATCCGAGATCTGACGATTTTCGTAAAAGAAATTGCGTAATCGCTTCACGCCTCGCTCAGGCTAATTATAAGACATTGAGAGAGAAAGGCTTTAGTAGTGCCAGTTCCGCTCGCTTTTGCAAGACGACAACTACGGAAATATAATCTGTCTCAATAACACTACAGTTTGCTCTATACCGAGCAAAGAGAAGCTGAAAGTCGTGGATATTTGTTAACTTACAGCAAAATGTGCATCGATATAGCGATATCGATTTAAGGCGTGCGGCAGTTCAATACGGAAGAACATGGAGTTACCACAAAAAAAATTAGAAGACTACAAGAATGTCTTCCCAAAAAAATCGTAATAGTGAAGTGAAGAAATGTAATAGATGCATAGATTCGCTAGAAAGAACATTCACTCAATTACTATTCCGCATTAGCTATATATTCATAATTAAATTTAATATTATATATACTACTGTGAAAATAGGTAGGAAGGATATTGTTCATTTTTTTGTATTTTATAATGAGAAAAACAACGAACATTCTAACTCTCTCTGATTGAGAAATAATACTTTCAAACACGCGATTGTATTTCACGCGATAACTAACCAACTCATTGTCAGTTTCTGCACGTATTATAAAATGATGAGACGTTAAAGAAAATAATAATTAAATGTTTTATTAAACGCATGACAAAATTACCTTTAAAAGAAGATTTCCCATGACTTTTCGAAGAATCTTCACTTTTAATTGTCATTAACGTATAACATGATCCCATATTTATACGCGGGTTCAAAGAACCCTATAATAAAACGATTTCACTTCCCCTTCTATGTTTTTACCCTTAACATGATTTTATCCTCTGCCAAACAAATATTATGCCGTGCACGAATAATTTTGAAATTAATACAAATAATCTTTGTTATTCTGAATTTTTTTCTATGCTTTCGACACAATGCACAGTATTCGATCTGTTTTTACGATTCTATTTCTTAACTGAATATCAATATTTTTTATGATCTTTCTTTCTTGTTCAGGCTCATGACTCATTATAAAACATAGCACAACTAATCATTATCCTTGAAAAAAAAAAATATTTACTAACATCATTTATTTTCAGAAAATAGAAAACGGGGATTGCATCAATAGACAGAACGTAAAAACAACATGAATCTAATTTTCTGGAAAAGAAATAAAAAACATCAAGTATATAAAGTAAAAAAATGAAAATTTAATTTATTACGAGATACGAGTGTTTTGCGATCCTTATTCGGAGATCCTTGTTCGGCGTGTTCTTGACATCATCGAGATTGCAACGCAACCGTCGGAATGACTCATTCTCACTTGACCGCGCTGACAGAGACTTCATCACTATCTCAGGGTGTGTCTCTCTCTCATCCCTCTGAGATAAGCAACCCTCTCTTCTTAATGTGTATTTAAACGCGGCACTTGACACTTTAATGCGAGCGATGATGTTTCTAAATTTAGGTAAAACGCACAGAGCATACATAAGAAGAAATTGCACGAGGAGGAACACGTATTTGTTATCATATTTACATTGCGTTATTAATACTGAGTTGAACATTGACCCTTGGAAAAAGAAACAAACAATTTGAAAAACATCAATTAACAGAGAAATATTATCAAATGATTGTACCGATGATAAAAAAATAATTACATATGTAAAAAAATCATGGAGAGGTAAATTTATGTAATATCTGTCTAAAGTCAATTAATAGAAGAGAGTGCTCCATTAAAAGAGCGATCATTAAAAAAGAAATTAAGAAAAAGAGAGCAAGTGATAAAAGAAATAAATAAACAAATGTCAATCGAGTTTCTTTTCTAATCGATCGAAGTACACGACACCTATCGTTGTGACATATTTTTGAGGTCGTGCATTGGAGTATATACGATGCGAAGATATTCTTATCTTCTTATATTGAACGTTCGTTCCAAGGAAAAAGAAAAAAGGAAGATGTTCCGCGCGAAAGAGGACCCAAAATTAGGGCCTGGTGGCGGGAGATGAACAGCAGATATCTTTAGTCGAAATTCTAATATTAGCCCAGCGCGTTCCTAGTCGATACTCCAGACGTCCACTGCCACCACTACTAGTACCTATCGCTACTACTACCACCAACACTACTGCCACCGTAATCGTCAGATTGACACACTCGGCAGCACGACGCATTGTACATTGTACGTGCATGTGCACGCGCGAGGTGAGACGAGACGAGACGAGACGAGACGAGGCGAGGCGAGAAGTCGTCCTCAAGAGGAAGAGACTGAGGGAAAGAATAAGACAACAGGGAATCGCCTTACCTTTTACAAACTAAATAAGAAATCCTCGGCGTCAGGGAGAGTGCTTCACACAACGTTGTCGCACGTCAACCGGACCTTCGGCAAAAGCTGTACCGCGGATAACATCGCCTCCACCATGCCACGATGATGCGTACTAACACTAGCTGCACCGAGCCATACCGTCCAGCCGCGCACACGCCGTACGGACATTATGCCGCAAAGATCACCAACTATGGAAGTGGTGGGAACAGGATTCTCGACCATCGAGCCGCGTAAGAGTCGCACAATCGGTGGACGGTGTGGCGCTATCTGGAGCGATGGGAATACACTTGGTAACGGAGCGTCGCGAGATAAGAGAGATAAGTATAGCTAGAGAGCCAGCCATAAGCCATTCCACTCCATTCCACTCCAGGCGAAACTTCCAAGAGGAAGGACATCAGTACGAGGAGCAGCGGTGAGACGATTCGTCATTCGATGAAAATGAAAATATCTTTTACATCGCCAATCAATATCTGTAATATAGTCGCAATGTTAACGCATGTGCGAATAGATAAATAATTACAATATTCATGTTCATCCATACAATCGTTATTCATATAATAAATCGTCACTCGTGACGTAGAATTAAAGATACGGGGTAACGAGATAAAGTATTGCTCTGCGCCGTAAATAATTCCATTTATATCACATGATGTAGAAAAATATGAAAATCTATCAAATGAAAATATTTGTACAGAGGAAATGGAGAAATTTAATAATATTCTAAAAAGAAATGAATGGAATATTTTTGATGAAGAAATTATTGAATATTCATATTCAAGCCTGTTTATACAAGATTTCATCCACAACTCCTAATTCTCAATTAATCGATTCTTAATCAATTTTGATTTCAAAATATAATATTTCAATTATCTTTTTGTAGCGGATGTATTGGAAGATTCAGCGTTAAAACTCGAATCGAAACGAACAAATCCGCGTTCTTCATGTGTGTCAAAGAAATGCTCCCGCGTGGCGGGAAGCAAAACTTATTTTTGTTTCAAGGTACTTCTGGAGATACGAAGTTTATTTATAGAAATACATTCTCTCCGGTCTGACTGTCAGCCGCGTAAATGGAGAAGGAAGCGCGAAGAAGGATTTACAAAGAGAACATGCGAACGATAAGAGCGGGCGGTGCAAGATCGGTCGTCGTCGTTTCCTGAAAGCGTACTATTAATCTCACGCAAACGAACGTGAGAAAAGTATCATCTCGTGAAAGTGCATATATTCCCATCACGCTTTTCTCATCGTCGGAATAATTTTTTCTTCTTAAGCATAGGAAAAAAAAAACAAAGAAAAACAGTGCAAAAATGATAAAATATTCGATAACAGTACCTTTCGTCGAGAAGGATGAATTGGCGAAGAATTGTGGAGAGTCGCGGTTATTTCTTTCAGTACGATTCTTGTGCCTTCGCGAACAGATCCTCTTGGGCTCGACATTCTCAGGCTCTTTCTCTTCAATGCAACGAATATTTATCTTGATTTCCTGGTGCGAAATATCGTAGATAATGCCACTTTTATTTTAATCAAAAATATATTTGAACAAACACACAAGAATATTTAAACGTTTTCTTCTACATGTATATTGTGTGTGTGTTCCTATTACAGTAAATAGACGAAGACAATATAGGGAATATATTGTACATATATTTTTATTAAATTTACTTAAAAAAATGTAATCTATTTTTTTATGAAAAAACCTGATTCTTTTGAAGTTTTGAAAAAAAATCATTATTTGCGATGTCGACCAATCTCCGATTAACTTTATCAATTATTTTTACATTATTTCTTTAAGAATAATATACGAATAAATCTATTAATCTTAAATTAATTAGTAGAATTATATTTAACATGTCGGAAAAAGTTAAGAACAAATTGTATAGAGATTTTGTCATAAGCGATTCTACCGATCGATTTGTGTCCATTTCTAATTTCTATCAATTTTAATAGTAAATTGAACCGAGGTTAAAGTTAATCTACATTGGTGAAAATGAACATTAACGGAAATCATCACCCTATGATTTCGAGAATACGATGAGACGACAATGTCTTACAAGCCGGGTCTACAATGAGTCGGTAGTCTTACAAGTTGGCTGCTGGCCAATTTTCTACCAATTCACCGATTTCGATCAATCCACCGACCATCCATCTTTCAGACTCGCTTCCGATTCACTGACTCAGTGTAGATCCAGGCTTGGAATTTCGTTAACAGAATTAAAAATCTTCTCCGTTCCTCTACCCTTTCGAAAAATCAGTTCATCGGAAAAGATCACATGCAAAAAAGAATGAAGATTTGACTTACAGAAAATTGAAACACTCGAGATCGGCAAAGCTCTTGTACTTTCACTCTCTAGACTTGCTTGGAGAACAAAGAAAGTTCTCTTTACACGCAGAAGCGTGTTTACACTGATACTTCTGTCACTTGAGATGTCACCGGCACAAGCGATAGCAAGCGATAGTGACGAATGTGGCAATTGCAATACCGGTAATCCGACAAACACCTCGACCACGTAAATTCCTAATGTATGCATTCAACTTTCACATCAACCGTCAACATCAACCAGTTCCGTCCAGTTACAAGTCTGCACAAGTCTGCGACGCGAGCAAGCTGAAGCAAGCGAGCGAATTCGTTGCGCGTTTCACGATCCTTTGACTAACGGCTGTAAGCAAGCCGTTTGATAAACTTGAATGTGAATACACTGACGAATCAGAGTGCACCGTTGCGTTTAACTAGCCGACACACCGCGGCGCCACTTGTAACAGTTTCGAGTTTCCGTCGCAATCGGTAAGGTAGTACTATCGAACGTGATCGAATCGATCCGCGATACTAATCGATCATCGTTCAAGTTGAATTTGAAATCAAAAACCTGCGGATCCGTTCCCGCCAATCGCATCTGTTGCGCCGCGCACCCGTATCAATCAATAGCGCTATCATGTTCGTTTTCACTTGTCTATAGATTAATTTTAATCTCAATTTAACTCACTTTTTACCTTTTTTCGATTCTAAAAGTTAGAAATAAAGAATAAAGAGTGAATTGAACCGAGATTAAAATTAATTACTAAAAATGGACATTAGTCGTGCTTAACTGAATTCTCTCTTTGACTCGTTGGCATCTAAATTTATTATTTAAATCGAGGAATATACAAAAAGGATGATCATTCGAAGATTGTTTTATCTGCTGTGAATCTGTGATCGTTTGCGAAACGCTGTACTTGTAGTATTTTCTCATACAATTATATCGCCACGATGAATTCATTTTGTTATTAAATGACTGAAATCATTTGAATGGAACAAATTTTTTTACAATAATGTAAGTTTGCAAAATATTTATTGTCAAACTCATCATACAAATATGTATAAACTGCCACGTTATTACATGCCAGGCAGTGCAAATTCACCACAAAATTTTAATGCTTACTCATTAAAGGTTATTAGTCTTTTTTTTTATTTTAATTAATCGTCATATACTTAATCCATGCACTCATCCCTCACCATTCATTCTCAATTTAAGGATATAAAGATATTGTTTTTAATAGACTTTCATAATATATTGTACATAATAAAAAACGCATTCATTCGGCCAGGTAACGCACCGCCGTAATACATTGTATTACAATAAAGCGAGTTATATAAAAGAATACTATTCACAATGCTCTCTTTCGAAAAACAGGTAAACATTATTTAAGGACACTTGTTGTAGGCAGTTAGTATTTTTCTTCTTACATTCATAAAGTTTATAAAATAGCAAAGACAAAAAGAGTCTAATCTATTAATGTAAGACTAAAATTTTATTGTATTGAGCACAATCACAGAAAGTAGTCCACATATGGCTGCTATTTAAAATGAATTGGTAAATGTACTTTGAGAGGCATTTATAAACAA